GGAGGAGGAGGAGGAGGGGACAAAGGGGATGAGAGAGTGGGGGAAGGAGCACAATGCTCACTTGTTTCCCAAGCTTTGCCCGGTGAATCCGACAGATTTCGGAGGAGGAGCGTTTCTGTCTTGTACTGTCTGATCAAGGAGATGAGAACGGGAGGGCGAGGAGGAGATCGACTACAAGGGACGGGAGCAACGCAAGCTGTTGGATGATTCCTTCAGCCTCCTCCTCTTCATCTTTCTCCTGCGAGGAAAGGGCCACGTGACTGCGGAAAATCGACACAGCAAGATCGAAAGGATCGAGAGGAGAAGTGGAGGGTGGCAGGGGGAGGGGGAAGGATAGAGGACGGAGGAGAGAGGGAGGGAGTGATGTGAGGGGAGGAGGAGGAAACAATGAGAGGAGGGAGGAAGAGAGAACAGGGCAAGGAGCACGGGCAGGGATCGTCTCACCTTGAGCTCATTGAACGCGTCCTCGTCTACTCCCTCGTTGGTGATCTTAAGGACAAAAGGCTCCTGAAACACAAACAGGATGAGTCAAATGCCTCAAGAAATATGAAATCGTCCACTGAAGATCATAGGGTTTCCAACACAAACACACAAATTTTGCGACCAAAGCGTAAACATTCAAAATAAAGGGCAAAGTTTCGAGCTCACGGCCACAAATAATGTGCAATCGCTCGAACGGTTTCATCAGATGAACCATCCCAAAGAACATTCCCAACAAGAAGCAATGAAAGGGCCAACTTCACTCACAATCTCCGCGTCATGACCGTCGGAGTCGTTCCAGTCTTGTCAAAAGCATTAGACGCGACCCTCGACGGCTCCACTGACCCAAGTAAACGTCGTCCGTGTCTCGAATCAATCTGAACCGAGCAATGATCGGCAGGTCGACCAGCGACAAAGACTCTATAAGAATCGTCAGGTCAACGTCCTCAGGTTCCTCAGTCTTGTGTGCCTATCTCCAGATGTTGGCAAAACTCGTCTTCTTGCAGTCTGCGTCATTCATTACGATCAGCCCAACACTTAAACAAACTTCTTCATCATCATACTACCTGTTGAGTTTCTCCTGGAAACTCATTTGCGCTGCAAACACTGAGACAAGCCGAATCCCCTGTTCATCATCATCATCATCACCATCACCATCACCATCACCATCACCATCACCATCACCGCCATCATTAAAAACAACAACGACAACGACAACAAAATTATCAATAACAATCACAACAACAGCAGCAACAACGTGATCATTTCCATCATTATCATCGTGAGTAGTCGTCTCCCTCTTTGCCACACATCTTCATCAAGGAAACATATTGTTACAAGACAACAAATCTTTTCTCACCTCATCGCCGATCTGAAGGTCGGTGAGGTAACTTTTCCCGACCTGTCTCCACATCAACAAACGAAATAGCAACGACGGTGACGTGTCACTTTGAATTCACGGATCGGGAGAGGGGCCATGGCATAACTCTTGTTCTGATCTCCCAATCAACGACAAGTACAAAAACTTTCAATGTGAACAAACCAGGTCTTCGCGATCTTCAATGGCTATCGAGAAGCTTCCAGTGACGTGAATCTGCAAGAAATGTCAGATCATGTTATCATATCATGTTACCATCACGATCACGATCACGATCACGATCAACATCTCTTTAGTGTTTCTCATTGTCATTCATGTAATCATTCTCATTCTCAATCCCATCACCCTCATATCAACATATCGAACAAGAGATTTCCTGCAGAGTTTGCGAGTAACCAGGGTGTCTGCTTCCCTTGACGTATCTCGACTGAAATCATCGTCATTGTCTCATCATACACGAAAACAAAAGATTGAACCAGAACTCCATTGTTGCCAGACTTGACACGCACAAGGGTTCCTGCAAGCAACAAATCTCAGCGCTGATTCCTTCTTGGACCTCCTCCTCCCCTCCCCTCGCCTCTCCTCGCCTCTCCTCGCCTCGCCTCTGCTCTGCTCTGCTCTGCTCTGCTCTGCTCTGCTCTGCTCTGCTCTGCTCTGCTCTGCTCTGCTCTGCTCTGCTCTGCTCTGCTCTGCTCTGCTCTGCTCTGCTCTGCTCTGCTCTGCTCTGCTCTCCTTTCTCATCCCCTCCTCCTCCTCTCCCATTCCTCCTCTCCTCTTCTCCCACCCTCACCTCACTCTCTCAGGCTCACCTTTCTGCTCATCAGTCGAGAAATCCTCTGGCAGGTTGTAGCCTCGAACTGTCCACATCTCACGTTCCCCCTCAACTCAACTGTCCTCCTCACCGGCCTCCAACGCAATCATCCGATCGTTGTTGCGCCGATAGCCATCATACCTCTTGGTCTCTCCATCAACCCTACATTCAAACAGCAATCATGCAAGTTGCCTCCCTTGCTATTGTCATCTCAATCATCTTCATGGTCATCCCCATCATCATTGCCATCATCATCATCATTGCTATCATCGCCATCATCATCGCCATCGTCATCATGATCATGATCATCATGACCATGACCATCGCCATCATCATCATCATCGCCATCATCATCATCATTGCCATTATCATCATCATCGCCATCATCATCATCATCACTGACTTGCTACGCAATCTTGATCGTATCTCTTGTCTCTTCATCGCCATCTTGATGCGTTCCCTAAAACATCATGTGAGATGACGGACTTCGCTTCCAACCTCCGACCTGTTCAGTTCCAAGTTCGTTTCATCCTTGACAACATCAACTTCATCTGATAGAAAATCTCATCATCCCACTTCAAGCTGATCCCTCTCCCTGTCTCTACTCCCTTCTCCTGCTGCTCTCCTTCCTTTCTCCTCATGCTCCTTCCTCCTGCACTCTCCAGCTCCTCCTCTGTCTTCATCCTTACTCTTCAGGCTCAACGAGATATCAAGATGATGTCTCAGCACGCCACCACCCTTGTTTGCCCCCTGCCATGAGTTCACCATACAGCTTCTCCCCTCCTGCTCCTTCCCACTTACCTTCAGCTCTAGAGTCTCGTCCGCCGACCTTCCCCCGCTCATCCTGAATGTCTTCAGCATCCTTCCACCTCCCATGGAGAGTTCAAACCGAGGAAAGATCAATCCTGTCATTCTCAGAGTGCATTTCCCTATAATCCTTGTCTTGTTTTCTCCAATGATGGAGTGAAGCTCGACTGCAACCAACAATCAGTCTCTCCACCATCGCAAGACAACTCATTGATCTGCCTTGCAACGACGTGGCAGAGTTCGGAAAATCAACAAGCAGCCTCGACTCAATGTTTGTCAAAGGACCCTGCACACCATGTCAGATCGGAACTCTCTTACATTCTTCGTGTTACAGTCAGAGTGATTGGATTCGTTCGTTTCTTCGCTTCCCCAGCTCCGAAGGTCAAGATGACGCTTCCTCCAGCCTGAAGGAAGCGTTCGCGTCAAGGTGAGATGGGACATACTTTGACTCGTCTCAAGTCACCTGAAGGTCCTCCCCTTGCAGCCGGTGAACCTGCACTTCTAGAACCAGGCCCGACATGTTGCCTGCTCGATCTCACAGAGACAAACCAGTGATCCTGAAAGACAGACAAGATGGTCAGAAATCGTGTGAGCGAATAGGATGAGGCATCAATGGTTTCTGGTATATCTCATGGAAGAACCACAGCAAAACAGTACGGTCCTCATGCCAGTGCATGCTCATGCTGTTATGTAGGAAAAGGGATGTGGTAGGACAGCATCATGCTGTTATGTAGGAAAAGGGATGTGGTAGGACAGGAAGATAGAAGGTGATGGAAATGATAGTGAGAGAGCATGGGCAAGACAGTCAGTGATCGTAAGATCTCTTGAAGCTCTCGGCGTGACATTACATGTAAACAGCCAAGAAGTGAAAGCATCAGGAAGTTGTTTGACGCTGTTTGTCGACAACAGCATTTCTGTTCAAACTTTCCCCCCCTCTCTCCCTCCTCTCTTCTGTCTCCATCAGTCTCTATTCTGCATGCGCATGCTTCTCTCTCTCTTTCCTTCTCTCTTCCTCTTCTTCCTCCTCATCGCCCATCCTTTACCTCAGACGAACCGCCTTCCCGCCATGATGATGGCCGTTGCTGGTCGTTACGAATCTGTAACGTCAACAATTCGTGATTGGACCCGGTACGCGGTCCGGGGGGCCGGCCCGCCCACTGCGGCACCGGCGAGAACGGAGTTCGGAAGCGCTGACCGGACCGTATCGGACGGATCGCATGCCAGCCGTGCCAGTCAGATAGCGCCGAGTTAACAAAACTGTCCTGTAAACCAAGACGACCCTTACGTGTTTTCGAGACGGCAATGTGACGGAATGTAGTACGTGCGACGAATTGAGGGGCCCGTCTTCCTAAGGTCCTCTCACGAGTCATGTCTTTGTGCCAGGCTTGGGTTTCACATCCTAGCACTGGTGATACAGTCTATCTACCGTGTCTTGTTGCAACTAAGGTCGTTATGATGTCTGCATTACTCGGCACAGTACAAGTCTAACAAACTTGCGGCCTGGCCTCTGTCAAGCGCGCCGGGCGGTCACCGGCCCGGTGACTCGGACGGCCCCGGCGTAACCCCGCCGGGCCCAAGTTTCATGTCAAGAGGAACAGTGAGTATTGAGGGGGTTCAAGGCTCGGCCCGGACTCAGGCCGGATGGCCCGGCGGCGGCCGCTGATGACTCAGCGACGCCTACTAGGCTAGGCGACACATTTCAGTCACGGTGAAATGTAACTTTAACATGCCATTAAGCTTGATGGCTTTTTCATGTTCAATTTTTCAAATCAGCCGCCGGCCGGTCGCAAGTCAACTTGCTGCCTAACTGCCACGGAGAACTCTAAGTTCTCGACCGCCTTTCAAGTTCTCGACCGCTTTCAAGTTCTCGACCGCCTGGTCTCCTCAGTTCTGGGGGCGATCCCACTGAGTAGCCTGCGTGTTGGCGTTGTAGTAGTAGTCTCTTCCGGTGGCCTCGTCCTTGAACATCTTGAGGAGAGTCTGGTAAGGAGGAGGAAGACGCTGAAGATGTACGCTCACCTGCCATCCTGCCGGAAGGGCGGCGGCGGCGGAAGCTTGGGGAGGGGCGGAGGAAGGGGAAGAGATGAATCCGCGAATCTGCAGTAAGGAGGAGGGAAGGGAGTGGGAAGGGAGAGGCGGAAGGGAGGGGGGAGAGAGGAAAGGCGTGGCGAGGCGAGAAGAGCAGGAGATCACAAGTCTTGTCAGAGTCTCCTCGATCACAGGTCTGCTCGAAGGATCACCGTGTCATAGACGGATTCAGGGTAGTCCATCTGCACTTGAAACCCTGCGCTCCCTGGGACGGCCTTGAACGTCTTCCCGGTCTCCTGCACTCATCTCTCTCAGCTGGACGTCCTCCCAACCTGCACCCCAGCTGACCTCTGCCCAGCTGTTCGCCTCCTCCGAGCTGAGGTACTTGTCGTTGGTTCCCCAGGCCACCAACACGGGCAGCTTGCTCGAGCTCGCCATCTTGGTGACGCGGGAGCTGGAGATGAGTCAGCTAGCGCTCCAGGAACGAGCCCAGGAGCTGCTGCTCACAGGATAGCGTCATGGTCGTAGCGCTTCATGGCATCAACTACAGCCTGTAAAGGAGGAGGAAGAGGAGGAGGAGAAGGAGGAGGAAGAGGAGGAGGGAGGAGGAGGAGGAGGAAGAGGAGGAGGAGGAGTCGAGGTTAGAACATAGATGGTAGGACGTTGAATTTCACCAATCCCGGCATCATGCTTTCAAGGAAGGGTTCGCGATAACGATCAGCATCCTGCGCATGTTCGCTCAGCATTGCGGGGGAGGAGAGTGGGAGTCACTGACAGCGACGTCCATGGCGTAGGCGCTGCCGGCCTCAAGGAACCTCTCAGCTCTCATGGCGTCCTGTTGGCAAGAGGAAGAAGTCAGTTCTGTCGCTGGAAGAGGTAGAGAAGGCGGCGGATCACCTGAGCGACGAAGGAGGAGACGAAGGGAAGCTTGTACTGCTGCAGCTCAAAGGGAAGTTTGGTTCCGGTCTGATTGCAGTCAAACTCTGTGGGAAGCTGCCTTGAGATTCACCTTGATCGGGGTGTTGAGCACAACAATCTTGTCAATCCTGTCCGGGTTTTCGAACGCCCACAGAAGAGCATACTACAAACACTTCATCAGCCCTTGAACAAGCCTCTCATTAGCAAGGATCTTACCTGGCTGTACACGAAACCTTGAACAACAAGGGTAACTCGTGGAACATTTACGGCCTGCGGTGCACAACTTGTCATCCGAACTTCACGTGTCAACAAGGAGAGGATGTGCATGGTGGAGGATGAGAGATGAGAAACAAGGGGCTGAGGTGAAATTTCAATCCTCCTACATCAAGAAAGCTGCTGAAAACTTGCTTGATATCCTTCTCGCTCCATTCAAAGTCAAACCCTGGCTGCAGGCAAGGTCGTCAAACTCACAACCAACGTCAAAAAACCAACAAGGTCTGACCTGCGGCCAGGCAGAGTAACCAGATCCTGGCATGTCGAGCGCAAGACACGGTTGACCCTGCGATGAAACTTTGTTCATCAATTCCCTCCACGACCAACTGTGATCCAAGATCTGTCCTGCATCGTCAGCCCTAGCAAGAAACCTCCTCCTTCAGGTTTCCTCACCCCGTGAACCATCAGCACGGGGCTGAGTCTGCTGTTCTCAACATCGCCCATCTGTCTGGTATCATTCAACCAGAGTTTAGCACCCTCACCGTCCCCAACAATGACTGAAGCACCTGTAGTAAATCTTCAGGGCGTTGCCGTTCTTGCCAGGAATCGTCGTCTCCCGGCTTTCTGCAGTCTTCCCCTTTCCACGAAGTGCGATCATCATCTCTCCGACATTTCCTCCCCCCTGAAGCAGTGAGATCAGACAGGCTTGCGTCAGGGACGAAGCTTGATGGGAAGGAGGCAGAGGTAACAAATTAGAGGACGGTCAGTGATGATTCAGGGTAGGGGACGAGAAGCAAAAACGAGAGGAGAACAAGACTTCATAGAGGGAGAGATCAGCAGGATAAAGTACAAGCTTACAGCAGCGCTATTGATGAATTCTGTATCGTAAATGGCGTTCTTGCTAGAGGGGTTGTTGTTCGCCCAGCCAAAGAGGCCCTTCGCGTTCTCGCCATAGTTTCCATCCTGAATGGCAAACCCTTCCTTTCCTGAGCCGGCCAAGTTCGACGGCTGTTCATACAAGAGTTACATTATGGATGCGGCTCGTCACTCGCTCCTCCTCACCGTGGTAGCCTTCTGTTGCGAAAATTCCTGGTCCATCTCTGCCAGTAGTCTCTGCCGCTCTTCTCTCTCCTTCCTGATCTTCTCCTCTCTTTCCAGTCTTGCAGCTTCTCTTTGCATCCTCTCCTCCTCTGTCCAGCGCATTGCAAGCCCGACTACGCTGGGTTTCGCTGATCTCGCCAGGCACGATCGTCCGACGTTGCGAATGGGTGAACCCAGGCTCTTCATGGATCCAAGAGTGTGCCTGGTAGCTAGGAAACAGGAAGGAGCAGGAGCCCAGGCCATGCTGCATCCTATCATCGCCATGCCATAGCAGATCACCAGCATCTTCGTCGCCTCCTCCTTAGCCATCGCACCCCACGCCATGACTCCAAACTTGTAAGAGCGTACCTCACACCCCTAAGTACCCCACCCCTGTAGTGAATTCTGAACCCACCAGTAATCCATGGGGGCACGACTACCCTACCTGGAAAAGACATGAAGCAATTGCTCACCCCTACCCCCTTCCTTCATTCATATTACTTCGCTCGAACTGTATTTTTGACTACCCCATAGTGCGCAAACTGAGTTGCTGCTACCTACCCCCATGACCTTATGACCCCACCCGATTGACGCTGACCCTACCCACCCCAGTCCATTTCTACACACTTCAGTTTAGTTCTTTAATCTAAACCTAGTCCACTACCCCACCCTACCTTTCATATCACAATTATGTTGAAAATTCACGGTGGTACCATACACCCACCCATTTTATAATTCTTAAGAGGGTGGGGTAGCACACGCCCTGGCAGGGATTTTGTCAATGAAGAGGGATTTTAGAGATCATGCTGAGCGAGGGTGGAGGAGGGCAGAGAAGAAGATGCAAGGATAGGATAACAAGATGTGAAGACAAGGGAAAGAAGCATGTTGAGACAGGTAGAGACGAGTTGTAGTTGAGACAGGTAGAGACGAGTTGTAGTTGAGACAGGTAGAGACGAGTTGTAGTCTTCAGAGAGCAGGATACCTCAGACAACAGTACCAAAAATTTGCAGATCGAGGGATGGTGTTTGTGTCAGTCAAGATGGGATTCAGGCTATCATTTCAAATCACGGGGGAATACAGGGAAACGAAAGAAGATAGCAAATGGCACACGTAGGAAGCGTTCGAGAAGAGACCTTGACATAGTGCAATGGACAGGAACTTTCGAAGCGCAAGTACGCAGAATCCTATCGGATTTCAAAGGTGTCTCCACAGAATGATATATTGAGTCAAGACGCAATGCTGGCTAAGTTTTGCCGGCTGAACCACACTTTCCACGTGCCTGTCTACAAAGATGGGCCAGATTGGTTCAGGTAAGGCGACGTGCGAGTTTGTCATGGGTGAGATTCTTGGACAGCTTTTGGACGCATGCTCTGGGCTTCGTGCTCAGTCTGATAGGCCTCCTGTTGTTAGTGTTGAAAGCATCTACGGTAGGCGCGGCATTGAAGTTTCTGTTGGGCTGACTGGGGGGCGATGAGCAGCCCATTTCGCAGTTTTCATGCGGTTTGTATGGCTGCTGCATGTGCGTTCTCTTCTTTGCCAGCGCTCTCCATCACATGGTCAAGAGGCCTGCGGGGAGAGAGATGTCGGATCTCCTTCGTCGCTTCGATCACATCTCGATCTATCTTTTCATCGCAGGGAGCTGTAAGACATGACTGCCCACTGCTCGTCTTTTCACTTTTCTCCGATTCTCTTCTGACTGTTGTCCACACTAGACCGATTCTCTTCTGACTATTGTCCACACTAGACACGCCGATCTGCATGCTTTCTTTGAGGACCAGGGCCGCTACCTACCTGCTTGCGATCGTTTGGAGTTTGACCATCGCTGGGATAGTGCAGAAATCCACTCTCCAGGTTAGAGAACGAATCGACGTGGAGGTCCAAACAAGTTGACCCTCTCGCAGTTCTCTCCGCGATGGGCCACCATTGGAACTTGTCTGAGCTCCCTGTTTCTTTGTCCAACAAGCTCACTCTTCTTGCCGTCCAGATGTCTTCCAGGGATGGATCTGTCTTTTCTTGTGGACCCCTCTCCACCAGGCCTTCTCCCCAGACGAGATTCACTACTTAGTCGCGGGTGAACGTTCTGTGACCATGATCGCCATCTCAAGAGCAGCAGGCGGCCTCCTTTACACTCTTGGCGCTTTCGTCTATGCCACCAAGTTCCCCGATCCCTTGCCCAACGTGGTGAGATGCCTTGTGCAAATCATGATTGCACGTAACTTGCTTGTCACTCATGACGTTTGCAGGTTGGCTTTCATGGTCTGTGGCACCTCTTCGTGCTCCTGGTCTCTTTCTGTCTTCCTTCTCTCTCAAGCCCCTCAGCCGTTGATTGACTTGTTCCGCTTTAGGGAGCTTCGCAACACTTCTGGTTCATCTACAAATTTGTAGCCTAAGATCCTAATCAACATCAGACCTCCAGTCACAGTAGCCTACTGTCACTGCGAGCCTGCTGTAGAACTAACTAGATCAGTAGAGCCAAACTACTACCTAATAGAACTAAACCAGTTCAGACTCGTCACTTGAAATCACGCCGCCCTCAGAGCTAGCATGATCCGACCGGCACCGAGTGTCGCCCGGGCCAGTTCCTCAGTTCAACTTGGCAAGTTTCAAGTTTTTGTGTACCGAGGCCGGCCGGTCACTGACCTGTACCGTACGCTGGGGCGGCCGGGCCCGCCGCCGGGTCCGGGTCCGATCCGATCAGTGCAGAGTCTGACCGTGGCCGCATTGAAAAAGTCCAGATATAAAAGTTTACTCAAAGAGTAATGGTTATGAGATAAAATCCCACGTCATTCAAATATAAAAATATTTAAAATGATTGTACCAGTTCGTCCGAGAGATGTCCGTACAAATCTCGCAGGTGGGTAATAAAACTAAAACCCACATATATTGAGTAGCGGCCCCCCGCCATGGCAGCAGTTTTGTGCCTCGTGGCACTAATGGCGCTGCCTTCCGCATCTTCAGGAGCCCCTCTCCGCCTCCCCTCCCCCGCCTTTCCTTCTTCTTCTTGCTCCATCCCTCCATCCTCCTCTTCCTCCTCCTTGTCCTCTCGATCCTTCTCTCCCGTTTCTCGCATTGCAGCCTTTGCCTCCCCATTTATCTTTCCAAACATGCTCCGTGGATTTTCTCGTCCATCGATATCGCAGCTATGCATGCAGCAAGAGCCCAAAGGCCCACGAAAGAGGAGCTCTCGCAAGAGATACGGTTCTCAGCTCCCTGGATTGACGGGAAGGCCATTGGGGAAGGCAAAGAGGAAGCTCCTGGAAAGACTGGATAACGAGGAGGAGGAGCTGGATACTGTGCGCGATGAGCTCAAGAAGAGACTGGCCGAAGAGAGAGATACAAGTACAGCTTGGACGAAGACCAAGGTATGCTGATTCTTTATGTGATCACCTCCGAGTTTCTCTCGACCCCGACGTGTCCGACTGACCCCTTCGTCAGGAATTCCTGGATATTCAACAGAGGTGGAGTAAAGAATTTAACAGTCCTAGCAAGGACACTGATGAAGACGACATTGTTGGAAACACCAACGTGTTTGAGTGGAAGCAGGTGAGCTAGATCAAGTAGGCGGATGCAGCTCATGATATTCACGTCAAACTCAGGTGAAGGATCCTGAGAGCGGCGATGTGTACTTCTGGAACATCAACACCGACGAGACGACGTGGGACGTCCCAGAGGGAGTGGAGGCAAGTGTTTCTTGTGTTGTTTCTTGTGTTGCTTTTTGTGTTGCTTCCTTGGACGTTTGTCAACTCCCTCCATAGCGTGCATTGACATCTCCGATAGGTTTTGGGAGATCTCACCCCCTTCAGGGGTTTGACGATGACCATTGCAGGCAAGACGACAGCAAGAGTTTGTTTCCTTCTCAACCGTTTCTTCGCAGACCCAGCAGGAACAGAGGGAGTCAAATGGATCTGCACACAGAAGACAACGGGACATGCCCACAACGGCATCTTCTTTGAGGTTGTCTAACGAGGGATATCCCTTTCCCTACTCCTCCCGCCTTCAATTTCCTTAGATGCAAGAGTCCCGATTAGTATGCACTGCCTCACAAGCACTCCAGGTCCAAGCGAAAAGCGCTGATGTCTACATCACTGGCGTGAGGACGGGCAGGTAGGACGTGCGCTGGACAGTCATGAACATGACGAGCTGGACAGTCATGAACATTCCGACATCTACGTCACCAAGTATCGAGTGTTCGTGCGAGATGGGCCATCTTATGGCCACGAAATGTCGAAGTCAGGATGGAAGCAGGTGCTGGCTCTTGTGTGATCATCGTAGATTCGTCGATTCTCCTCTATTACTGGAATTGTTGTTTATCCGTGATTTCTTTCCTGAATACTTCCTTTCGTTGAATTTCGCTCATGGAAGCTGTCATCGCTCTTTGCTTGTTTATTCCTTACCGCTTTTATCGTTATTTCTGGATGGTTCGTTGTCGTTACATTTCCCTGTAGCTCCTTTCTGTCTCCTGCTCACCAAACTTGCTCTTTCGACATTTTTCTTCCTTTCCCACTGATCTTCTTTGTGCAGGTTGGCATGAAGAATGTGAAGGCGTTGGTCAAGAGAGTGGGCCCCAAAAAGGTGAGCAGATCTGTCCCTCAGAACTCTCCTGGGCTGACCTTCCTAACCCTTATGTCAGTGGGATGCTTTTGGGTTTCCAAGGCAAGTGAAGAGGACGGTGGAAGGGGTCAACAAGCTACTTCCTTCGATCTCAGACCTTGTGAGAGTGCTTGTGATCGAAGCCAAAGATGACGAGCTGATAGGATGAAAACCCGGAGCTTTTTTACGGCCCGCTGCCTCTCACTGAAGCTATCCGTGTACCTGCCGGTCAGACAGTCTCGATTGCCATCTGGTGAGGACTTTTTGAGTTTCTACTGTGTCTGCAAGCTTGTCAGCTCTCGTGTTGGAGGTTGACTGGCAAATCATTAAGGTGTGAAGACATGCTGGGGATCATCTTGAGGAAGAAGGACCCTTGGATGAACAACGGGAGACGTCGGACAAGGCGTTACGTGGGAGGATTTTTTGACAAGGTGACGTCACTGGGCTGATTTTGATAGAGTGATGTTTGTTTCTCAAGGGAGAAGTCACTGACGAGAATGTCGATATGACCTTGAGGTCGGGCCTCGTTCCGACAGAGGTGAATTCATTTGACCTCCAACACTACAGCTGACGAATCTTTGCAGGCAATTTTTTCAAAGGTTTTGAATCCTGAGGGATACATGGTGCTGCTTTTGTTGACAACCAGGGTTCCCGTCCTTGCTGACCTGTGTCACCAGGGATTCGTTGGAGTATTGGAGTACGTTCTAGACAAGAACTTTGTTCCAGAATTTCCCAGCCCAGAAAACTTGGAAGGAGAAGATTTGGAAGACGAGGAGCTAACTCAAGATGGGACTGCAAATACGAGTGAGGAGGCGTCGCCTGAGGTATTCGTTGTCCTCTCCTTGTACCTACTGGATTTTTCCTGCACTGCCCTTCCCTTCCCTTCCCTTCCCTTCCCTTCCCTTCCCTTCCCTTCCCTTTCCTGCTCCTCTCAACTTCATTCATTCATGTTGCTTTTCTTCTCATTCATCCCCCAGGCATTGAACGAGGACTTGCTCGGAGACGAAGGTAAGGATCAGACAGCAACAAAGTCTCCGATGGCTCACTCATCGCAGAAGAGGAGGAACAGGAAGAGCTAGACGAAGAAGCGATCAAGGCATTGAACGAGGGCCCTCAGCATCTTTTCTTTGGTCCTCCTCCTGCTTGTTCAGCACGATCAACCCTGACTCAAGTGCTAAGGCGGGGACAAGGAGGGGAGCCAGAAGTCAGGAGCTGAAGGACAGGTCGAGCTCTTTCTGGGCTGCTTCCTCAACGACAAGGATCTCGGGGAGCTCGCCATCGACGCGTCCACAGAGTGAGCAGATCTCAGAGTGCAGGCCAGCCCGTTGCTAACTACAAGTCAGCTGGGAAGAGCTGAAGACTGAGCTGGAGGATCTGGTGGGGTCGCCTGCCTCATTCACTTACCAGCGTCCAGACAGTCAGTGTCCCGTTTTACCTCGAGTGTCTCTCGCTCACTCCGTCCCGTCCTCTAGGTGACAAGACCGTCAAAGTCAATGATGAGAAGAGCTGGGCTGCTTGCAAGGACCTTCTCACCGATCCTCAGATGGACCTCGAAGGTGGTTCCCTCCTTGTCGCCTCCCCCCTCCTGTCGTGCCCTTGCCCCGCTCTCTCCTCATAGATTTTGTTTTTCTCTCCATCCCCCTTCGCTCGCTCTCCTCCGTTCTTCGTACCCTACTCTCCCTCCCTTCTCCCTCAGTTCTTTGTCTTCCTACCCTCCATCCCTTGCTTTTCCGTTTCTCCTCTCCTCCCTTCACCTCTCTTCCCTACCCTCTCCTCATTCTCATACTCCTAGTCCTCTTCCAGTATCTCATTCTCTTCAAACCTCACGTTGTTGTCCAGGCTACATAGAAATCGACATCATCAAGCAGTGAGCTGCTGTTTACGGTGGCTTTTGCTGCTCTGCTGCTCCTTCCCAGCAGACCTCCACCTATCCGCCCCTCTCTTCAAGGTTTCCACGATGATGCAGCAAGGAAGGCCAACATGTGGTGCATAGATCAGATAAGAGATGCAGTTGATAGAGAGGATGGTGAAGTATCTTTACATATATCAGTACGTGAAGTCTATAACCTACTGGTAGACACGCTTAGGGACACTGACCGCGGGTGACCTGCCATGTCGCCACGTTGGTTCCTCCTGCAGGCAAGGCAACACACTGTCCGATGTTGCCAGCCAGGGAGGAGACGAGCGTTGGGTTGAAGCGAGCAGCGACGTACGTATGCGTGTCGGCTGCCCCTGCCGCCACCAGGGGAGCAGAAGGGCGCTTCATTCCAGCGTTGCTCAGGTAGACCTGTCCTGGAGGGCAGGGAGCGTTTTGATCGTAGATGAGGACGTCGGGGTCAGCCTCAGCAATCACTGGAGCCTTGTAGCAGGACTTAGGGGGAGAGTCTTGCGCCACGTGAAGGGCGCAGGCGAGGGAGACGAGGGAGAGGAGCAGGAGAGATCGAGCAAGCATGCCTGTCCAACAGAACAAGTAAGTCAAAGAGGCCTAGGAGAGGGATTTTGGCACATATTTGTCACTGCCACTGCCGCTGCCTAAACTATGAAACTCGTCAATGCATGGCTGCCTAATATCCTCTTATCTCTACCTATTTCCATCTCTTTAGAAAAAAATTCTGCTTCTCTCGCATGTCTCCTTGTAATATCAAAACGGCGGCTTATCATCCAACAACTTCCTTCCTCCAAGTCGCTCCTGGCTCGTATTACTTTCCTGTCTTCTCTTCCACTCCATCTTCCTTTCCTCTTCCTCTTCCTCTTCCTCTTCGTCTTCATCCCCTCTCCCTCTTCTCCCTCCCCTCTCCTATCCCCTCCCCTCCTCGCCACTTCTCTCCTCTACTCATTTCCTTATCCAATTTCAGACTCCACCTGCCACCACCCACCTAATCGAGTACCCTTCCAGTTTCACACCCATCTTCTCATACCCTACCTCCAGATTTACGATTAAGTACCCAGTACTTATACACGATCTCTTTATCTTTTTGGACCCCTACCCCTTGATTTAAGGTGCCAAGCACCTGGGCAGTCAGCATTGGGGTAAACACGACCAGGGTAGTAAATTTGACGGAAGAGGTATGATGAAGGGGGTACAGGTTAAAGAAGAGGTACTTACTACCTGGTAATTCTCCCCTCCAAAGTACCCCTACTTTTCATCATGGCAGGGTGCTGACCCACCCCTCCCACACACATCCCCTGCTAAACATGCAAACGTCGCTTATCTTTCCACCCCTGTCCCATCCTCCCAGCTGGGTGGCTGACGGTTATTATCAGGCTATTTCGTAACGGTTAGCCTCTCGCCCGGAGTCTGCCCGGCCGGGCCCGACCGCGGGCCGCCGGGGCCCGGTTGAAAATGTGCAGTGCAGCACCGGACCAACCAGCTAAAGGTTTATATGAGCATGGCATGTGCGGCCAAGGGAACGAGTGAGTGAGAAAGGAGAGAGGAAGAGGAAGAGGAAGAGGAAGAGGAAGAGGAAGAGGAGAAAGACAGATCCAGTGACCAAGGACCGGCACAAGTTGGACAAAACCAGAAGAAAGAAACCCCACCAACCTACATGAGGTTGAATTCGAAGTAGATTGACAGGCTCTGCTTCATTTGAGCAAAGGAGAGGGGAAGGAAGAGGGAGAGAAAGAAGAGAACCGACAGGCAAAGGCAAGAGATTGCTATTCGTCAAAGCAGCGGGCGCTCTCGCTGCCCATGGCTTCTATGTCGAGAGTTTCACAACTGCAGAATGAGAAGCCAATTTCACAATCCAGGTGAGCAAAGAGCTTGAACGATGCTTGCAGCCCTGAACCATCTTGCCTGCAGGAAGTTACTGGCCCTGCTCTCGCTCCTGTCGCTCGTCTCAACCTTCCTTGCTCCCCTCCTCGTTCACAAGCTCCTTCCCTTCACGCTGGGATCTCGGGTCTTGTTGTCGGACTCGCTACAACCCTTGTACACGGTGAGGACAGGGAGGAGGAGAGGGGATGAGAAGAGAGAAGAGAAGAGAAGAGAAGAGAGAGAGAGAGAGAGAGAGAGAGAGAGAGAGAGAGAGAGAGAGAGAGAGAGAGAGCGAGAGGGGAGGGAGGGGATGTAGAAATAACGAGATTGGTGCAGGGCGAGTTGACTCTCTCCAACTTGTCATGCTTTCTGTTCTACACGTGCTGGTTACGTGTAACGTCACTTGCTGTCAATCCCAGACATAAGATCAGGTTGCTGCCTGCCTGCTTGCCTGCTTGCCTACCTGCCTACCTGCCTGCCTACCTCAGTTCATTTACCTTCATTCCTTCCTCCCTCCCTCCTCTTCATCTGACATCAGTCAGTCAGTCAGTCAGTCAGTCAGTCAGCCAGTCAGTCAGCCAGTCAGTCAGTCAGTCAGTCATTTTTCTGTTGTCCTTCTTTTGTCTATTCTCACTCGCTTTCCATCAGGCTTGAGACAGCTGCGAATTGGATCTCGCCAGTGCGCTTATTGACAAAATTCATCGGAGCAAACTCACTATCTTTGCAGGTTGTCATCATGAACGCTTTTTTCCCTCTCATCTTCCAGATCTTTCTCATCGTCATCAGGTTGAATTCTCTTGTGTAAGTCCTGGCCTGACATGTGCCTGTCTTGGAAAAAATATCTTGGAAAAAAATGCTCCAGCTGTTATGGATTGCAAGAATATGGCGACATCATGGAGCGAGGGTACCAGAAAGACAATTCTGAACACAACACAACAACAACAGAAACAACAACATCGTCGACATCTCCGTCATCATCAACAACACCAGCAGCACTCTCAACATCGGCTTCATCAACATGGCCAAAAATGCATGAGATCAGTCGTTGTCTTCGTTTGCATTCCTTGAACCTCTTAATCGGAGGCTCCTCCCTCTTCGGGTTGCTTTTCCTCCATTTTCTCTCGTCCTCTGATTCTTCTTCCTCTAGGTCCTGGACTTTCTTTGTCGGATCAATCTTTTTCTCCCTCTTTGTCCTCGTTGTGTCTTCATCCAGCGATCGGCAAACTTTACGAGAGGTCCCTCTTCTCCTTGTTTTCACCTGCTCCTGCTCCTGCTCCTGCTCCTGCTCCTGCTCCTGCTCCTGCTCCTGCTCCTGCTCCTGCTCCTTTGCCTGCCCCTCTTGCTTCTCCTGCTCCTGCTCCTTGATCCCTCGTGCCTCCCTCCTCCACCTTCTCCTCCGCTGGCTCGATCTCTCTCGTTTCTTCGCTCTTGACCTTTGGCACCTTCTTCTCTCTTGACAAACTTTGCAGAGCGGGAGGTTAAGAGTGTTGGGGTTGATGTACGTCTCAGTGATGTCAGGACTGGCAAATGTAAGATGCTGCTGCTGCTGCTGATGATGATGATGACGATGACGATGACGATGACGATGACGATGACGATGATGATGATGATGATGAGAAGGAGGAGGAAGATGTTTTAGCTGACCATCATCTCAAGATGTTGTGCTTCGGTCCCAACGGTCATGGATGGATCCTCGTTTGTCTCTCTTGTTCCTGGATCGGAGATGGAGGTCAAAAAGGGAGGGGGGGGAGGAGGAGGAGGAGGAAGAAGAAGAATAGATTCTGACTTTTCTTTGGTTCCAGGTGCTTATTTCATCGGGGGGAAGTACGGGAGGCACAAGTGTCATCCAGCTGTACTCAAGTCTTGTAACCTGTCTAAATTTTCTCAGCTTGCTGACAGGTCAGCGCGGGGAAGAGCTGGGAAGGGATTTTTGCTGAGGGCTTCTGGGCGATTGTAAGACGGTAAATGTCAACTGAAAAAAAAGTCAGAAGAGCTCGCAGGTGACATGCTTTGGAATTCGATGGATTCAGTTGTCATGGAGAGAAGGGTAATCTTGAATACATGTAGTGCTGATAGATGAGAAGGAGAAAATGGGTGGAAGGGAAGGGAAGGGAAGGGAAGGGAAGGAAGGAAGGAA